AACGAAATTAGATATTCGTAATCAACCACAATCACTTTTTGTTAACTTGATGTGGTGTATAACAAAAAAAACACCAACCTTAGTAGCAAAGGAGTTATTATGATTTCGTAGCAATTAAAAAAATATTTAGGCACATAGGAAATAAATATTTAGAGCATGCTATGCAACGGGTTAGTTTCCATCCTTATTACTCACTGCATTCAGTTCACAAGTGTGAGTTACTCCATTTTGGTTCTACATCATTTCTATAGTCCAGAAAGGGCCCCTTGAGATTCAAATGTGCCAAGAGACAGTAACTTCCTTGTGCATTGGGAAAAATACCTGACATTGTGATCACCTCATAACTCTCATTAAGTGTTTTGTCCTGACTGTTCTTAGTCCTCCTTTACTGTGGACTTCTACATCCATCAAACTCTTTCAGATCAATAAACCAATATGTTTTTAAGGTTTTTAAGTCTATAGCCTCTGAACTTTCACCATATATGTAAGAATATTTATATTCTTGTGTGACCTATGTGTCTTTCGGTTTAATTATTAAAGATCAAGTTCATATTAAAGTTAAGGATTCTAATATTAAAGACGATACCGTGATAGACCGGTCTCGATTAATGCATTAGAATTTGGGTGTATTGATAATCCTCCTCCCTTACCTTATTATATTACAAAGGTCTTTCTCTAATATGTTTATATACATTGCATCCGTAAGTTAATAAAGTAATAACTACATTTGGATGATGCTTAAGTGGTGGTTACGTGGAAATGTTGTAATGAACCATCACAATTAAGCATGAACCATCACCACTAATTAAAATCTATAAAAGCTCCACATGAAGTAACGTAATGACACACGTTCTTTTCCGCAAGGGAGTAGAACATTGATTGAAACAAAACATATAGAGAAAGGAGTTGATTCCTTCTCCATCAAAAGGAGATCGTAAGGAGTCAAAGGTCAAATGGAGGAAGAAATCAATCGGTGAATTGNTTCTATTTCAAACAAATCAAATCAATGTTAGTCTTTCTTTTTCTCCAAAAAAGTGTTTGTGATTGAGTTAAATCAAACTAGATGATTTTGGGATAGATTTCATAAATGAAATCATTAGGAATATGTTTACAATATATACCAAAAGCTCTTATAGAATATGAAAAAAAACAACTTTTTCTTTTCCTATAAGTAAGGAATTCATTTTGGATAATGCTAAACGACTCGTTTTAGGGGGAATCCTTAAAAGAGAGGATAACTTTTAAAAAGAGAAATGAAACTGAGATTTATGAAGATGGATTTAGAGATAAAGATCCACACAAAAAAATTTAAGGAAATTAGATTATTCGTTTTGTAATCAACCACTTCTGGTTATTTTGATGCGGGGTATAACGAAGAATTTTTTTTTTTTTTTTGCTAAAAAATACCTACCTTATTCGTTATCATGAGTTGATAACAATTAAAAAATATTAAGGCACATGGAAAGCAAATATTTGATTTAGAGATGTTGTGGTTTGTCACTCACTAGTCACTTTTTGTGTAGTTTTTTTTTTTTTATAAAAGATTTTTAATTTAAATGCAAAGATAACTGTTACAATTGTATGATCGAGATCATATGACGAATTTTAATTTGAAAAAAATGTTTTATGACGAATCATAAAAATACCTTTTTGCCAAGAAAATTAAAAAAAATTATATATAATAAATGTAAGATTTTTTGTTTTTTTTTACAACAAAACTACATATTAATCAAAAGACACTTAGTAATCCAATCCGGTAGTAAGTTATTTACATAAAAAAAATCAAAAGCACGAATACGTGCAGAACGAGTTAAACAATTCACCTTTAGATTATTGGAATCGGAGACAAATGTAAAAAATTTTATTTTGCTTTTTACTTATTAGGGTAGGCTCAGTTATTTTTGTATACCTTATAACAACAGTATTCTCACCTGCAGGGTATTAAGAAACCTGGAGATTCTGAATTTCTCTTGTGATGTAATCAACAATAGCATTTAGCACAACGTACTTATTTCTTTGATTTTTATTTAGTTATCACTATAAATTTATATCATACACACTTATTTCATGTCAAAGAAAAACTCATTGGGTAATTTACAAGAGGAAGACCACACAAAATGGTGGAAAAAAGCTTGGAGATGCCCATCTCTCAACCTATCACCTTGGAGGATGTCAACAAGGAAGCCTATATTCTACATTCTATATGTTATTTAGTGTATTTTCAACATTTTAACTTAAACTAGAAAAGCATGTTCTATAAGAAAAACAAAACAGAATAAGTTTTTAAAGTTTAAAAATATTAGATGCGAAAAACCAGGAATTTGTATAAAACTAGATCTTTTTAAATCGGAATTTAAAAAGGTAGATAGTTTAAATTAGATATGTTTGAAGGTGATGTAACTTCTTGTTTATATATATAGATAGAGGCACATTAGTTAACATACCATTTGTAATATCCTTTGAAATTTAAAAAGTTAAAAAAACTCTTCGTTTCTATCTTCCAAAATGAGGAAATCGTTTCAATTTGTGTTCACATTTACTACTTATATCATCATCATGTTTGCGTTAGGTTAGTTTA